GTCTTCTTGTCAAGTCCATATGCTATTGCTGCTGCTGTTGGCTCATTGATGATTCTGAGCACATTGATGCCTGCAATTGTGCCTGCGTCCTTTGTTGCCTGTCGTTGTGAGTCATTGAAATAGGCTGGACATGTGATGACTGCGTTGTTGACTTTCCCACCAACAAACGCTTCTGCCGTCTTTTTCATCTTCGTCAGCACCATCGAACTGATCTCCTCTGGTGTGAACTTCTTAGTCTCTCCCTTGTACTCCACCTGAATCAATGGCTTGTCATTGCCATCATTGACAACAGTGAATGACCATTGCTTCATATCCTCTTGTATTGCTGGATCACTGAATCGTCTTCCAATCAGTCTCTTTGCATCAAAGACTGTATTCTCCATATTCATAGCAATCTGGTTCTTTGCTGCATCGCCAATCAGCCTCTCGCTGTCTGTGAAGGCAACATACGATGGCGTTGTTCTGTTGCCCTGATCATTTGCAATTTCCTAAAAACGGATTTCGCATGCCTTTTAACACGTTCACGTTCCATTTATTTTTTGTTTTATAAAAAATCTTTTGTTGTGAAAAAATTTGAGTTTTGCAATTTGTTTTTTTAAAATGACTGAAAAAACCGTTCGCATTTCTGACGACATTTTTTGCAACGATCTTAGTAATATTATAATAAGACATCATAACAAAAACAACTAAGATTTATGAATCAATTCATTTCTTCACTTTTTAAATCCGAGAGTACGTCGTGAATTAACACATAACTTATTAATCGTCGTTTTGTGTCGTTTACGCGCTCATTTCCGCGACACTTGACATAGAGAACATATGTTTTAGCAACGACGCCTCTTGCAAGCATCACGCCTCAACTTTGTCTTTTCGAATAATACATTTTGTTTAATTTTTATTATTCGTTAAACTCGGCCACGGAAACGTGCGCGTGAATGACACAAAACTGCAAGTCAAAAATAGAAGGTCAGTTATACATTTGAACATAACAGTGTTACAATCGACAAATTCCTTGTTTTTTTTTAATTTTTATGTGCTTATACTTTAATTAATAATTTCAAGATGAGTATTGATTAAAAAGTGTTTTGTGTTACAAATCAAAAAGGCAAAATAGTTCGATTGGTATATAACAAAAATTAGTTGTTTTAAAATGACTTTAAAAACGGAAACGTGTTAACTATAGTATCTTTATCTCTCCAATAGTCACTGATGCATCATTCAATGCTATTAAACACTCCGCATTCGTTTTCCCTACTTCACCTTTAACATTATCAATAATTATAAAATGAGTTGCGTGGATGAATCTAACAAGAGGTGATGGTATACTATTACAACAGTACATAAAATCTGTCTAACAAATTTTGACAGACAGTTTCTCCCCAAATTTCTTCTAAAGTTTTAAATAGATTTAAAACTTTTTATTTGATAAATGTTATAAAATAATAACAATTTTTTATTTTTATCGGTTTATTATTTTTTTTAGTAAAATTATTATTAATATAATATTATTTTTTTATTAATATTTTATTGTTTTATTATTATAAAACTATATATTTATAATTTTAATTATTTAAATTAATATTTTATATAATTTAAGTAAATTAAATTTTTTGGTAAGTAATAATAGTTAATTAATTATACTATTATATATCATTCTATACTCATAAATATAAAGAGTACAGACAAACTGTTTTTAATAAAAAATTATGAAACATAGTAAAAAATATAATAACTTTAATATGTAATAATGAAAATTATATTGAAAAAATACTGCAAAAATTCAATCATTGACTAACTGAGGCTTCTACTTGTTATGCGTTATGGATAAACAGACTCGTTACATTTATCAAATTATGCAAGTAACGATTCTGTTTGTCGATTTGTTTTCTTAAAAACAAAAGAACGAATTAAACAACTTTAAATTGTGTTATATTTCTTTTGGTTAGCCCACGGTATGTAAAACTCTTGATTATCAACAAAATAATATAAATAACTGTTCAATGTTTGAAAAATTAATTCCAAAAAGCAATTATTTTTGAGTGATTTCATTTAACTATATTTTAAAAAAAATTATAGTTAATAACAAATTTTATTTTAATAAGTTAAATTATTATTTGATCCTTATTAAACAATTTTCAATATTATATAATATTATTAATTATAATTTATGGTTTTGTTTTGTATAGTATAAATATTATATTAATAAACCATTTATTTGTATACTATACATTTTAATATTTTATAGTTTAATTGTTAACTATCGTTTTAAGTAGAAAAACGAGTGCGGCAAAAATTATCCATCTGTAAAGAAAAAATTTTGGAGATCGTAAAAACAAACAATACTATGAATTTTACTAAAACTACTTTATTTTTGGCACAAAAACAAAGAAAATATACCCCTATTCATTTTAAAATGCATTTTTGGGACAAGTTCCAAATTTTTCCCTGTTCCGTGATAGACCCTGGATACAATGAGTTTTTTTTAATATTTGTATTTTTTTAGAATTTTATTTTTTTATTAAGTAATTTAAATATATCATCCAAATATAATTATTTTATAATTATTTATATCCTGAAAACGGTGTCATTATTGTAATTATTATTTTTTTTAAAAAAAATACGCAATATTATTGGTTATTAATTGCACACCAAAAAATGCAATAATCAATTATGTGTTAAACGTGAAATTTATTTATCAAAAAAGCTTAAAATAAAAACACATTTAAAAAAACCTAAATTTCAAGTAAATTTAATCAATAAATAACAAACGATGAACGTTTGTTATAAACTATGTGTAAAAACAGACTCTATACAAAAATGTTTTTATTTTGTTTTTAATTTAATGTTATATTATATAAAACATAATATATATTTTTTAAATATTACATTCATTATCTATTCAAACAATGTAGTACAGTTAATACGTTAGTATATTAAAAAACAAAAAAATGTTTTGTGTGTAGTTTTTTTAAATATAATTTTCTATGTTGTAATGAGTCAATAATAAAGAAATTTGAAAAATCACTTGACAAAGAATAAAGGGATGACAAAATTCTATTTTTAATTTTCAGATGAATTTTTATTGGGGTTTGAAAACCATCATAATGGGGATTTTGTTTACATGTCTCATATAGAAAAATATATTATTTTTACCACAAACTTGGTTTTGCTATAAGTAGTAATATATATATTAATTATAATAGTAATGCTTGATTTGAAAAAACATGAAAATTATTAAAAAATAACATAAAAAGAATTATTATCCAATAAAAACTATTGTTTACAACTTTTTGGGGTAATTGGCTTACTTCTTTCCCCACAAATACCGGATTTTAATAACTTCTTGGTTAATGTTTCAATTAAAAAAATCGGTTTTAATTTCAAGCCTTTCGACGCTGCCTTCAAATTTATTATCAACCATTGGAGTTCATGTGTTGTATCAACAAAACTTGTCGAATTAGTGTCTCCTTAATTCATAGCCGAACATCTTGAGTTTGAAAAAAATGTTCAAAATTTCCAGAAAGAAAGGTGGAGTGAAAGACCATACTGATATGAGAGA